AATAGTTTCGAAAGGTGAAAACTGTCTTTCCGAAAACCAAAAGTCTAATACCTCTCGCTAGAAGACGACAACCTGTGTCTGTGGTTTGTGGCGGGTTTAATGCCCAAGTTGGGCTCTTGGGTATCAATACTGCCCGTGTCCTCAAAATCTGAATAAGCAAGACCTGCAGCTGGTCCTCTATAACACCACTGGCACAACCCAGACTGGAGGAAAGTGAGGATGATATCCTTTGTTATGGCTTCAGGTTTCTCTTTGGCTCTACGATTGAGGTTTGTATGGCTGCATAGGGATTTCAGAGGCGCAAAGCAAAGGCTGTTGGAGGGGTGGGATGTGCGACAGTCTTCGACAACACACATGGCAGCGTCAGGTCCGGTTTATGACTCCATCCAGACAGGCTGGTAGCATATTACTTGCTCGGTAGAGCTAGGCAGGTCGCACGCAGCCAGTCAACTGGGCTACTTGGTTGCAGGCAGAACACGGACGCCAACACAACCATTTCCATGCTGCTTCTCATCCTACTACAACTGCTCAAGTCCCACCGCCCTGCCATTCGGGGTTACAGGAATATGGGCGCCTGCATTAGCCAGCACTCGTCCATGCCCTGAATGGCCTCGATGGTGGAGTCCAGAGGGGGCCAACCCAGAGCAGTACGCTAGACCATGCGATATCCACCTACAGTATGGCCTCCACGAGGGAGTCGTCAATGCGCTTTCGCGAATGAGGTCACGCGTGGCTCTTCTGCAGCGATACCCCATCGACGGTACTGTAACTCGTTGCTTGTCTGTACCCGTACTGTGAGGAGGACGTGGCAGAGCGGTCTGCAGGCCCTTGGCCCTTGGTCATCTCTGAACACATGGTCCAACACAACAACAGCTCCCGTAGGATCAAGAGGGACGGTGTAAGATGTCCTGGACTCCCTTTTTCGACGAATGACAATCTAACACCAACATCGCCATGGGCTTCGCTCCGGCGCATTTTAAGGAGTTCCGTTGGCGTCCGTGTAGCATCCGGACAAGTTTTGGCCCTCCCATATTGGTATCCCTTAGCAAAGCAATCACAAAAAGTAAGTCAACTCCAAGATATCTTGCTCGGTAAGTACTCTCTCTATATCACTTCAGGTTTATTTCACTTCATCTTGGCCTACTAACTGCTGGTATACTACTAAGGTTTATTTATCTTATTTTTTAGCCGTACCTGTTTAGTCTCATACATAATTGTACTTATGCTATTGCGAAACGATGGTTTGGTGTGGCCAGAATAGGTGGGCTAACAAGTTTGGGGGGGGGCCAATATCTGTTGGCACCTTGGAATCCCGATACGGTATCCTTCAGTTTCTTTTTTTATCAATTGGGGGCCTTCAGAGAATTACGTGAACCATAATGAGAAATGTATTGGACATAGATAATCGTACTCTACCTAGTATAAGTCTTTGTTCGGTTGTTTACTTGCTGCCCTTCTCCCAAGCTGTAGGTAGTTGATCTCACAATTCCCTAGTTCATGCAGGTGGATTGGCTCACCCTGTCTACTAAGGTTAGGAGAGTGCGTGTAACTGCTTCGACTGTGCACTGCCCTGCATGCAATCATGCATTCTATAGCTTAGGTGTGGAAACAAGCTACATACTTACATTGCTGCCTTTCTTATTTACTAACTCATCGGCATAGAGTATATTGGGTAAGACGCGTAGGTCTCGCGTACATGAAAGCGTATCTGGTATCACCAGCTATGGTTACTATGCAAGTTTAAGAGGGTAGCGTACAAATCTGATACGTAGGATTGTTTGGGTCATATATATTATACATGCCAGTACGAAGTCGATCATAAGTAACTTCAGTTGTTGTTGTTGTTGTTGTTGTTGTTGTTGTTGGAGGCAGACCATTCTACATCCTTACCTACCTTCTTCTAACAGGTAAGAACACCTTACTTAAAGGAGGTTTTAATTTAATTACCTTATATAAGTAGCTTTAAACAACAAACAAACGGGATTAAGATGCCTGTTAAGAAAAGATGCTTAAGTGCCAGGCTAGTAAAGCTTATATTATGCTATGCAAGCTTCGCCACCGTTGAGTTTCAACTCCAAAAGACATCGTGAGATACAGTTTGTACCCCGCCGATGGCGAGAAAGGAACGACACATGATAACGCACACAGAGCACCCCTGTCATTGTCTACCGTCAGCCTATAGGTAAGAAAGTAACAAGCTAAATAATATAAGAGTTTCCCAAGACGACGTTAGAAGTATATTTATATCCACCATCGGAATAGTGAGATCGAACAGTACATCGTGAAGACAAAACCAACCTTGCTGGTGGGTTTTCTTGGCATTACCGACAATAGATTGAGAAGGATGGCTGGGCTCTGTCTGTATCAGTCACCTCCACAAAGAGCCTCACCGCTCTTTTAACCAAGGGACAACCTCGCTGCGTTATTGCGTCCTAATCTTGAAGATATCGATACCGACCATGCCACGATCGTATCGTGCTAGGTATTTTTTGGTAAGGCCCATATCTACAATCGTGGCAGCACTGACCACCGTCAGATTGCGGAGTGACGTGGTTATATTTTCCTCGCTCGGAAGAATCAGGGCCCCCTGGTTCCGCGGACGGGTTCGGGCTTCAGTCGTGGCAAACGGCCATAGCATTAACATCCGCGGGACCTTAAGGGGGCAAGATGACTGCCAGATATTACTCGCTCCCACCTTCATCCTTGGAGCTGGACTTACACTCCGGAACCGGGTATACCCCAACGGCCGCCCGGCATATGTGGATTTTCTGATGTTCCAATCATTGTACCAGCAATGAGTCGCCAATCGAGGCACTACTCGATCAAGCTGACTTTAGTGTGCTTGCGTAAGTCTTGCCCACAGAGCAAAAGGCCGGAATTGGAGGTATCCCGAACTACCATTGTTGATATTCCGGACCCATACTTGTACTAAAACCCCGATTGGGCGCATAGTCGTGAGTGAGAAGGCAGTGGACCTTCAGATGGCTTCTTCCTGCGAATAGCAAGTCCCCTCGCAAGGATCGGGAAACTTGCACAGTAGGCAGTGAATTACGAGCCATGGGCCTATGCAGGCGGTCAAATCTAGGGTAGAAGTTGTGTAGTAGCAAAAGATCTACTCCGATTCTCCTCCTACCATTGTTATAGTCAACTGAAATTACATACCGATGGGAAAACACAGGGCTGTAGTTGTAACAGACCCAGGATGCCGTTGCGGAATTCAACAAATCGGGCACCGTCGACACGCCACTTTGCCTTGAAGACAGAAGTAAGCGGACCATGACGGCTAGAATTAGCTTTCCCGCAAGTAACTCGAACAGCATGGCGGAAGATGTTATTAGAGCCTGCTCTCACTTCGTCTCCGCTGACAGCAAAAAGATCGAAGCGAAGCTCAGTCTTTACCTGTAATGTCTCAGTCACAAGGTAAAGGGAGGCGGCAAAGCACACTATGCCACGAGGAGCTGATAGCAAATGTTAGGAACGTTACTATCGTTTGGCGTCCGAGGCGACCTGCCAAGTATTTCAACCCACATAACATTTGGGGACACTGAGACGATGTGAGGCGTAAGGTTCAGTTGCAGTTCGAAACTGGGCGCCAACCCATCAGAGCAGTCTTGGCCGCTTGCTAGGCGACATCGTCCATCATCTCGCAAGGAACACCGGGAAATGGTGAAGATGATCGACTAGGTTGCCATGTGTTATGGTCATCGAGCCGGCATGGAAACTGATTTTCAGTGTTCATCTCAACATGGCCCAATGCTGTTCTTTGAGCCACGGATCAAGTGATTGCATCGTTTGACAGGTTGTCCACTGCAAATTTGAGGAACGGCTGACGAGTAAATATTCAGATTAGGTGTTTATTAATGGCCCCGGATGCTCAGGCCAGAACCCAGTCCCGGCCGAGTGGATCTTCACACCCAAGATTCGGCCATGTGCAAGGCGGAGTGTAACCAGTGCGCGGCAGGGACCGTTGCAGGTCCCAGACACAGTTCAACTCTGGCTTGTCGACGTCATAGCAGATTCGATATGCAAAGCAACCCGGATCCTGCTCGGATCTATGCGATGCCACTCCCATGATAGGAAGACTCGGGCAAGACTCGGGGCTGGTCAGGCGTTGCATGGAAGGAGACATTGCTCCAGAGAATCAGGGTAGTATGACCGCGGTCGGGGGCACTTGATTAAAGTGGGATCGACGATGGTGACATCGGTACCCATCGCGACGATCGTTTGTCGAGAAGTAGCAACGGGAGGGTCGAACCTACCTCTTAGTAACCACCCGGCCTGTCTCTCAACCCCAACCCGTCTCGAGGACTCGGGCGCTGATTGGACACGGACAACCTACTACCGCCTCACGTGGTTGCACCCTTCACGTGACACTTATTCCTCGGGCTTGCAGGCTTGCGATGCGCTTGCTCGGTGAGCTCCGCGCTAGCCGCGAATCCCCAGTCTACAGTACATTGGTAGCCCTATGTTGTGCAAGCATAGCAGACTTTCAGCAAACTCAAAATCCGAGCAGCCACGGGTTGAGCCGGATTACTGATCTACAAAGCCCGATCCGCGATTAGATCCCCCAACCTTAAAGCACGCGAAATTGATTAGCTGTGCATTTGCATTTGAGACAATGCAGCCAAGTGGTCAGTCGACATGACGCTGCAGTACCAGTATCAGTACCAGTACCAGTATCCGTATCCTCAACCGTGTAATGACCATGCATCCCAGAGAGATCGACAAAGCAACTTCCTATCGGAAATATATTCAGACGGAACAATCTGCAAGGAAAACATGCATTTTTAAGCTGGGTTTGATGAGCAAGGAACGGCCCGATGCATTCACTCTGTAATGTAGTGTAGCCTACCAACCCTGGTGGGTAAGGCAAGCCCGCCTATCTATTTACCTATCTATCTCTCTATCTATTTGATGTTTGACAGCCTGCGCATGCTTCAAGAACCGGGGAAACCAATCTTGCATATTTCAGGACCAAGCACGAAAAAAGAGAAGCACAGCTCCGAATCGGGAAATCGAGCCCCGGGCTTGACGGCACTCGTACCTCCCCAACCTCTGGTGATGAGGGAGACAGGAAGGCGGGATGAGAGCTTCAAATGTTGGCCACTGCACCAATTCAGAGAATGCCATGGATATATACATATCATGAGTAGATACAGGCGGGATTGAACCTCCGTCATTGGGCTCGCGGGGAATGGAACCCCGGACTACTCCCAATTCCTACAGTAGTGAGCTTCTCAGAAGAAGAGAAGACATCCAGATGCTAAGGGAGTATCATACCACTAAACCACAAGCCCCAAGAGGAAGGAAGAGATGAACTTCCTGAGTGGAGTCGTTGGCTCGCTAAAGCGAGATTTGGCATTTGCCTTGGTTGGGCTTGGACTACCTAGACTTTTGGCGGTGCCGCTATTCTGCCACGCCCCGAATCGAGCGAGTCAGCGTGTGAATAACTGAAAGTGTGTGGGAAGAGAGAGCCGGACTATTTCCACCATGCACCAAGTGACTGTTCTAAAGCAGGTAGTATTAACCCTCCAAAGAGTTCACTTTCTACAAGAAAAACAAGCAATTTGCACATACCTACTGTTTGTCGAACCCCTCCCCCTCCCTCTGCCCCTCCCCAAGTTGGTACGAAAAGCATCCAGTTAACTAGGCCAATTAAACTTCCGGATCCTCCCGGTGAGGGGGCGTCAATTGCACGCCTTTGGCCATTCACCGTTCACCGTCAAACATCTACCTACTTTGTTGGGTTGCAATCAGGTCGTGGGTCTTGATAAGCTCTATCAGCTGATGGATACCAAAACCCTCAAATCAAGTGCCCCTCCCAGGCAAACAAGATCTTCCGACGGTGGTGAAAGGGTTGGTTACCTACATATAGTAAGTACACGCTTACACGATTGATAACGGGAGATAGTAAGTAGGTACGTATATGCCGGGCGGATGAATGATGCGGGGAAACCATCCGCAGAACTACTTTCTCGGTCTGGTTGTCTGCCATTCTCGATAACAACACTGCACTCCAACTGGAACATGCCCATTTGACTCACAAAAGCCGAGTACATTGGCGTCATAGTCTGTGCCATTTCTTGGCTGCATACCAGACTAGAAGGTCATTCTGCTCCCTAGCTCCAACGAGGTAGCTGCAGTAGGTTAGGGTAGTATAGTTCGTCAGCTACCCTGAGATATCTTACTAATATCCCTGGCACGTTCACTTAAACGCACAGGTATATGACATAGAGACGAATAAGATGTCATGATGCAGCATGTGTGTGCAGCAGGTACATAGACCTACAACCAACAATTGCTACAGTACCGTAGCCGCAGCAGCCGGCCCGGGCTTGTTGGAAATCCATTCATCCATCATCCAGTTGCGTACATCACATCACGCCACCGTATTGCGCAAATAGCTCCGCGCACTCGAGCACCCAACTCATGCAAGGTACAGCGGGGACGCGCTGCAGCGATGTGCAATCCCGATCCCTGACCGTGCATTTCGATCAACTCACTAAGACAGCAGCGAATGATACGAAAGCTCACGAGCCTCACCAGCGTCGCATACACGGCTACATTACGTCGGGGTTACGGGATATAGTAGTGGGAGAGGGTGTGCAACCATGTCAGATGCCTGGTTGACAAAACGTCCAAGAGAGACAAGAGCAACAGAGTGGGGGGATGGTCGTTTCCCTTACTATTATGTACTGGGACTATGTGCTGGGGGGAGGCAGCGAACGCCGTAGGAACTCGTATCGTCGCCCGGTTTTCCCCTCTAGGCCACACACCATCTTCGTATGCAGGGCTCCGTTTTGGGAACATATCTGCCTCCTCAGCTTCTCTCTTAGTCCAAGATGTGAGTCCGCGCTCCCTGCGCCCTGTGATTGATTCACGGCAATAGGCAATAGACGGTCGCCCTCCTAGCACGTCCATCGCGTCTGTGGGGTTTGCAAAAGATACCGTACCCGTCTTGACAGCTGAGTGACCAGGATGACCACCACCACCTTTGCCCACGAACCCACAAGGCAGCTTCTTTTGATCAACAGGTGACTAACCGGAGCACCAGCCACTTTCCTGACATATCCCTTCTGCCTATGGTGACATTTATATATACCCGGCCTCGCCGCCGTAATTTCTCCTAGCGTGTTACCCTGACTGATCACTTTTGACTCGAGGTTTGGACTTCTTTCCTTCTGTCACATTCTTCCTTTTGAGCCGGCTTGGGCCCGGCACGTTTGAAAAGGTCCAAATTCGAAGGAAGAGTGGCCTTTCTTCCAACCCGTGAATAATTCAAGTTATCCTAGCTTGAGATGAGTACTTGGGAGCCTGCCTACCTTTCGCTATCAAGGACCCCTGTTCTAGCAAATTATACTACAATCAACCAACATGTCTCTCTCGCCATCGGATGCACTGAATACAGTGCACCGACAGTCATGGCCGCCCAGCGGTTTATGGCCTTCGAGTCCCAGCCGATTTCCACCGGCACTCGACGAGGATAAGGACGGTCTTTCCACAGATGATGAAGACATCGACAGCTCTTCGAGGCCCGAGAATCCTCTCAAATATTTCCTGACACCCGCGACCCCTGGAGATGATGAGCTAGAGTTTGAGTTCGACTTCGATGCTGGCATCGAAGACTCAAACAGTCCCCGCCACATTGTCCGGAGCGTGAGCCCCTCAACGCTCGATGGCCTCAGACGGTACAAGGCCAAGAAGGAGGCAGATTGTGCCATCCTAGACGACGACGATGACGACGATGAAGAGGAATACATACGGTTTAATTCTCACAAGTCGCTGCCTTTTGGTCTCGAAGACTACTTCGATCACCCTCGACACAGCTCTCCCAACCACGCCATGTCTCGTAGCGCCGAGACTCTACTATCACCATCCTCATTCCACGTTGGCTCGCCCAGAGGCCGCCTAGCCAAACGGTTCGCCCCGCCGCCTCGACGTGCTAGTCTCCGAGGTCGGCCAGTCGCCCGTACGCTACAGCGGCGACATTCCTGGCGCGAACCCAGTCCGGACGTCTGGTCCATCGACGAAGAACCCGAGAAGGAAACCATGAGCGAGATGGGGCTGAGCATCGAGGATCTCGATGACGGCTCGGATAAGAAGACTCAACCTATAGATATCCCGGCTGCAAAGCCTAGGAAGAAGGTCCGGTTCGTGTTGCCGGTTAAGGAGTTGTGATTTTTTTTTTTTTTGGCATCTCATTTATTTGCATATTTCCTGGCCGGTTGGAGGGGTTGGTCTACTGCATGGTACGGAGTTGCGGCTTCCTAGATTTCGTCTACATCTCTCTTTTCGGCGCCATGGTCACTACATCATCGTTGCTCACCGGTTACCCACATCATCATCACTTTTCCATATAGCATACGGCTGTTAGCATATTTGGCGTCTAGGCGGTGTGGTTTTCGGTTTTCGGAAGGCTTGGGCATTAGTGGTAATACCTACTTTCGTATTCATAGCTTTAGTACACATGAAAAGATACATGAATCCCTCTACATCGAACATGAATCTTCTGTAACCTGTTTCCATGAGTGACTGTAACTGTGCCTCATCATCCTATCGCATCTGAAACCCCCGCTAATTCATCACGATACCTATCCATGCTCGTGCCTCAAACACCATCTAAACAAAACAATACTGTGTCCACATCGGCGATATCCGAAGACTTACAACCCTTCTTCACACGTTTTTTCTTTTCCCAACACCGTCAGCACACAAAAAATTTGCCACATGAAGCAACTAGCTGTAAGTGTAAGCGATAGGGTAGGGCAGGCTGCGTAAGCCACAAGCCGAACAGCATCCGATCGGCCCCGAGGGCGCTTTGCCCGTGCCTCGTCGGATCGCGCAAGATCCTATCTATCTACGTGTGCTCACCGCCCCGCGGCGGGCGTCTTACGCAAGCCCACACCACCCCCGACCCATTTATTCATTCATTATCAGCGCCGCGCCAGCCACGGTTCATGTGCCCAACTGTTCCAGATCGTCGGGATAGAAGAAGAAGAAATCCAAGTACTTGCTTGTACCCAAGATTGTTGCTTTCGATTCCGTATTCGTGTAAGTGGAATTCCTGTACAGTTACGTAGGCGTGTGGCTAAGCCGGCACACGGAATCTTGAATATACGGTTGCCTGTGTAAATGCTACAGTATATGTGTCGTGTTATGTACCGCCTTCCTATTCGCCAGCCCTATGCCGTACGTCAAATCATACCTTGGCTTGCCTACTGTGCTTCTCGCATATGCAGTGCAGGGTAGGTCGAGCGGCTCCGCGATTTACCTACCTTGCATTTCATGCGCCCTATGTCATCTTGGAAACATCGCATGACCTTGGGAACTAAACATCGACTTTTCTTGTCGTTATTCTTGATAGGAAATTTTTGCTTTGGTAAGCTCATTAGATGCCCACACAGGGTAATTGATCCACCGATTTTGGGAAGACACGATAGTCATCTTACTATATAATTAACGGCATTAGCCGGTTCCGATTTATTCTCTTTTTACCTCTTTCTTCTCGGCGGTGTAGCTTATATCCATCTAGCCTATTCCACTATCGCCGTTACTAAAGGTATATAGTAACTGTAAGACTATTAGCAAGCAAAGGCCAGCTTGATAGACTATATTTTCCTTGTTTCCTACTACCAGCCGCGTGTCAGTGACGCCAGCTACTTCAAGTTAGGATAGAGAGAAGAAAGCCAAGGCCAGTTCTAAGGTCATAGGTCGAAGAGAATGGCAATTTGTGTCGGAAAAGTCGGGTTCTTTGCACACCGAAAGCAGCGGAAATCGACACCGAGATCATTTCAAGTAGTGTCGTTGCCCTAACTCTATGTAGGTAGTCATGCAGACGGATAGATAAATAGCCGGCTGATAATCCAGCCGCTACAGTGCCACAGCGAAGCGCGCAGTTAGAGTGGTTTACTAGTATTCCTTAAGTACTCGGCTGTGTATACTAGGCGCATATCTCTACTGAAATGAGATATCGAAGCGGAATTTTTCCATTTTCAAACATGTGACCTCAAATTCGGATTGATGATCGAAATGGAAGACGAGCGAGCCAAATTTTATAATCCTATAACCAGTTATTTCCAATCTCTTACTTCCGCTCCGCTCCGCACCGATTGCTAATAATACCGCGAGCATATGACATAGTCTGTTTTTTTTTTGTTACTAAGTAGAAAATAAGCTACGCGGTGCGTGTGGGAACTTTTGATTTACCTAGACCGGCATTTTAATGGCTCTTGCTACGGCACCCATGGACGAGTACAGCTGAGGGATCGAGGGTCAGCCCTATGATATGTATGACGTA